ACGAGAACGTGAGAACGCGAGATTGTGACATTAGTCAAGTGTCGCGATCTCGTGTTCTCGTGTTTTTGTGCTAATAGCCTGTACACTTATATGTAACTATTTTCAAAAACACGAGAACGCGAGAACGCGAGATTGGGACATTGGTCAAGTGTTGCGATCTCGCGTTCTCGTGTTTTTGTGCTAATTGCCTATACAGTTGTATGTAACTATTTTCAAAAACACGAGAACACGAGAACGCGAGATTGCGACATTAGTCAAGTGTCGCGATCTCGCGATCTCGCGTTCTCGTGTTTTTGTGCTTATAGCCTATACAGTTGTATGTAACTATTTTCAAAAACACGAGAACGTGAGAACGCGAGATTGTGACATTAGTCAAGTGTCGCAATCTCGCGTTCTTGTGTTGTTGTGCTAATAGCCTATACAGTTATATGTAACTATTTTCAAAAACACGAGAACGCGAGAACGCGAGATTGCGACATTGGTCAAGTGTTGCGATCTCGCGTTCTCGTGTTTTTGTGCTTATAGCCTATACAGTTATATGTAACTATTTTCAAAAACACGAGAACACGAGAACGAGAGATTGCGACATTAGTCAAGTGTCGCGATCTCGCGATCTCGCGATCTCGCGTTCTCGTGTTTTTGTGCTAATAGCCTATACAGTTATATGTAACTATTTTCAAAAACACGAGAACGCGAGAACGCGAGATTGCGACATTGGTCAAGTGTTGCGATCTCGCGTTCTCGTGTTTTTGTGCTTATAGCCTATACAGTTGTATGTAACTATTTTCAAAAACACGAGAACGCGAGAACGCGAGATTGGGACATTAGTCAAGTGTCGCGATCTTGCGTTCTCGTGTTTTTGTGCTAATTGCCTATACAGTTATATGTAACTATTTTCAAAAACACGAGAACGCGAGATTGCGAGTTTGGTCAATTCTCGCGATCTCGCGTTCTCGTGTTTTTGTGCTAATTGCCTATACAGTCATATGTTACTATTTTGTAAGGTAATTCGTCACGGTTAACTCGCGTGCAACGGCGTGAACTGAGGTGCGCACGAACCATTGTATCCAACATCTTTAAGACACTGCTTATTACTGTCTACAAACTGAAAAAGTTGGAAGAATGATGTTGGATGATGAATAAAATCTCACGCTCGTGTCTTTTGACATCAAAACGACGAGTGAGTGAGTATGGTTTTACGCCGCTTTTAGCAATATTCCAGCAATATCACGGCGGGGGACACCAGAAATGGGCTTCACACATTGTACCCATGTCGGGAATCGAACCCGGGTCTTCGGCGTGACGAGCGAACGCTTTAACCACTAGGCTACCCGACCGCCCTCAAAACGACGAAATGAACCACAACGTTCATAGAAATTTCTGCCTTGCAAATTAATGAAGTTTATTTCAAAATGGCTGCTGCAAAATCACGTGACTTTTGACAATGTCTGAATGCAAATTTTCCAAGTCTTTTGATTATACAGAAATATATATGTAGACAGGTAACATAATAAAGTCAAGAACACGCTCCCTTTCTTGCCTGTGAACTGACTGAATTTGACAAATATTGTCTGACAACTAACAGTCAAATAACCAACATGGATGCCTAATGGTATTTTTCAGAAAGATTTTGTTTGTTTGTTGTTAACGCCGCACTCAGCAATATTCCAGCTATATGACGGCGGTCTGACATCAAATATATCAACACTCGTTAGGGTGGCCCAGTCGTCTAAGGCGCCGCGATTCTCTGTGCAGAGTTGCGTCAGTTGGGCACGCCCGAAACCTATGATTGTGGGTTCGAATCCCGGTTCGCCCTGATTATGTTTCTTATTTCACCATACCCGTTCTCGTGGGCTTCATCGAAGAGGTAAACGTCTGAGACCTGCATCACTTCGGGCTTTCCTCTCATATTAAGCTGACACGCTGTGATATAACTGGAATACTGATAAAAGCGGTGTTAAACCCAACTCTCGCACTTACCCTATAGAATACTACGCGTTTAATCGCTAAGAACATTGAAGAACGAAGCGGGATGTATTATACGATTAATGATTCGATTGTGATCTTGTAACATTATAACGCAGTGAGTGACGACGTTAATTGTAAGAGGGAAGTGACCGTCAGGTTGCTTTCCATACATGTTGAGGCATTTCCATCGTAATGGCGGCTGCATGAAGACGATAAACATCCCAGTGTCACCCACAGGGTACGGGTAATTTACATGTTTGTCGTGTCTCGAAATATGAATTGTAAATAGTGTATCGTGCCAAATATATGGTGAGTTACTGAATAAATACAGCAGTTTCAAGAAAGTGGTAATTGTATTTATAATGTTAAGTGTATTTTACAACATGGACCAGGTTTATATTGTATCTTATGAGTGATGTCGGGATCGAGTTATCGCCCTTGATGAATTGTTTGTTTATTATAGGGTTAAGATAATGATTTTGTATATCATTGATTATTAAGTTCATGTTCATGTACAGAATATAGACGTATGTTTATATGAACTGAATGAATGTGTTAATATGTATGTGTATGAAACCTATTCAATATTGTTTTTATAATGTTATTGTTTTGTACATTAAAGGATGTCATTATCTACTCTGGCAATAAACACTCACACCCGTAGCCTATGTTTGAAATTGTATTTTCCTTCAAAAAAACCCGTTACAATATGACAATCGGTTTTGGGAGAAAAGGTACGTGTAATCGACCTGAGGATTGTGTGAGCATATGCGGGAAACACCCGCCTTAAATAGGGGTAAATATTTTTAAACCTTGTACATTTTATCAACATCCTTAAAGAGGCTGTACATAATGTTGATATCTCATATAATCATTAAACGACTCGTGGTTGTTGTTTATTGTACAATAAAACACTCGCCCCTCATGGTTTATTCTCCCTGCAGTGTTGTATTGTACCCCCACTCGTCGTTTATTTCTTTAACAGTGGCCCGCTCATTTATGATAACATGCGGGCGGTTTAATGATAATGTTATCCATTTTAACCATAAATTAATGTAAAGCGGGATGTTTTGTAATCAGATTGGATCGGATGAAAATATGATAATTAATTTTGTATTTCAAATTGGTCTATGAGAATTTTGCCTTTCATGAATATGCTAGCCGTGTATAACATTGCCTCATGGAGAAACTCACTGGCCTGTGATTATTTCTGTAACTGAAGTACTGCTGGTGCGGCTTTAAGCAATATTACTCACTCACTGACGGTAATAGTTTTGTTTCCAGCTTTCGGACAAATTAATGTTTTCACTATCATTAGACATTCATGTACACAATTTATTTTGTTAAATTATATTGAGCATGTTGAGGGTTTTATTATAAAGTACATAGGAAACTGTAACAACGGGAGATGACTCAGATTCTTATCACGCCTTTTTGAATGTCTCTCATTTGTATGGAATACTGTAAGGGACATTCTCGCGATCTCGCATTCTCGCGATCTCGACCTTTGGAAACGAGCTAAATATGCCAAAAAACACGAGAACACGAGAACACGAGAACGCGAGATCGCGAGAAAATGAAATGTCGCATTCTCGCGTTCTCGCGATTTCGTGTTTTTGTGGCCTAATTTGACAAGTCGAGATTGCAAGATTGCGAGATTTTGCATCATTCTCGCGTTGTCGACTTTTGAGAAAAAGTGCTATGTACCAAAAACACGAGAATGCGAGATCGCGAGAACGCGAGATTTTGGCCAAATATTACACACCCTGCCAGGCTCATATGCTTGTTCAATACATTTTGAATCGATATCAGCCCTGGTGGTAAGTGTGTTGTCTGCTCGTGTGCCTTCATCCCAAATATCAAAATTTAAGGAAAAACTTCACTCCTTGATCCATTGTTTTTTTGTTACAATAGTTGGTGACCATAGATACAGATATATATCTGTCTTCAGAGCTCGAGGTTCAGGGTAGTTTGTCAAACATGAAAGTAAATGCCTTCTGCAGTTTACTGAGAAAACAATATTTATGTGAAATGCTGGAGTTCCTCATTGAATAGAACTTGGGGACAAGAAGCAGGCATCCCCATGGGCAAAAATGATTCTCCCCTTCTCGCTGATCTGTTTTGCTCAGATTGGCAAAAGTCGAAACAAGGTGGTTTGTGCAAGAGCCTTAACTTACGCTTCAGATATATCAATGATATGAGATCGTTCAAGAACCATCAAATAGCCAATTCCCTGCAACTGATTTACGGACCTGAACGAGCAAAGGAGAAGACTAGTGAGACCGCCTCATCTGTTTCATATTAAAATCTGTGCCTAAAGATTCAGAGTGACAAAACACTGTCCACATGACTGCATGACACGAGGTAGTTCCAGAAGTCAGCTTTCCCTTTATGTCGAGCAATATTCTTGTAGCTCCAACCCTTGGTGTCTATATTTCAGAACCTTGGAGGTACAATCGAGCATGCTCTTTCCACCAAGATTTCAATGAGCGTCATACGGCTCTTGGTCAGAATCTGTTTGATCAAGTTACAAAATGCAAGGCCTCAGTAAAGCTTTCAAAATGTTTAATGGTAGACATGTGGAGGACATTTTCAAATTTGACGCATCAGTGACTAAACATGTGTCCCATGCAAGTCCCCATGCAAGTCCACTATATGGCCCTGTGTATTTTTGACTTGCCTTTGCATGTGTTTGTGACGATTGGGTTGGATACGCCGATGCACCTTTTCGCGAACACTAGATATCGTCACCATTTGATAGTGATGTATGCTAATGACATGTGCAACCTTCTGTTTATGGTTCTGCTGCTAAATTCCCGACAAGTCAGTAAAGACTAGACGTGATTTAAGCTTTTCTGAGCATTCACTTTGCTGGTACAAGATGACAGCGTCAAGTGCCACACCTGCTACATCATGTGGACAATAGAGATAGATATAAATGTTATTAAACAAATTACGTTTGTGCACACTCAAATATTGATTGATTTAGTTAAGCTGCCACCATATGATACGTTCATGCACAACACATATATCTTTCATTGTGAACAGTCGCAATTGTGTTTGGGCGGTGTAATACGCATTCACTGTTTCACGTAAGTATGCATGATTTATTTTGAAGTGAGAATTTTTTTGTCTAAAACAGAAACGCAATTTTTGGGACATTTTTCACATGGCCCAGCAGTCTCAGTAGGGCAGGAATTCGTTGTATTGAACTGATGTCCTCAGGCGAGACATAATCGTTTATTGTGAGTTCGAATCCCAGATTCGACCTGGTATTGTTTCTAGGTTTCTCAAAACCATACCCGTGTTCCGTGGGTTTCCCAAAAGTGTTAAATGTCTTATTATAAGCCCTCTAGTATTTCGGACTTGACTAACACACCAAAGACCCGTGGGGGTTCTGGGTGCGAATATAATCGCTTGAGAAAAAAGGCACCACGGACTAATAGGGATCAAAATAAGTCAGCATATCGAAAGCAGAGAACAAAAGTAAACAGTATGATGTATTAGGAAAACAAGCCTTCGTACTGCACACTATTAGGTCATATTGTTACAAGTTCTGGAAAATCAAACTCTGTCCTATCACTTCTTTCGAAGAAGACGATGACCAACCAACCCTGTTCTCGGACATGTGGAAAGCTGAAATGTTAAACCAAAACCAGTTAGTGTTACGGAATCAAACATATTTCATGTAATTAAGAGTTTCCATGAAAAAAGGCACGTGGGCCAGACAGTATAGGCCATCAATTATTAAAATATAATGCAGATTCAACTAGCCTTAAAAGATATTTTTAAATGGGGCATTATCAAGTCATCAATGTTTGACTGCTGCAGTGCCACAAGCCTCGGTCCATGGGCATTTCTTATTTATTATAAACAGGTGGGCAAAGGAAACGCCACCAAATACATAATGCTCGTCAGTTTTCAACAAATTTGCCAAACAGCATGAAAACAGTTGAAAACATAGCTGGGATGTAACTTACCTATTCCCTGTGAACATGTGCACATGCTTCACGTGATTTGTGAGAAAAGTGAATTTAATCACATAAAGATGCAAAATGTGCACAAAGTTACCCGTATGAAATTATGGAATAAAACATGAGCAGGATTTTACTCTCTCATCACATGAAACCGTTTAACACAAAGAACATGCCTCAACTAACCACAGAGCAGAGGGAGAGAGCCATCGGTATGTTGCAAATGGGAGCGTCGCAGGAGCACCTAGCCAGGATCTTCGGCTGCTTCAAGTGCACCATTGCCAGACTTGTCACACGTCACAGGCAAACTGGCAGAACTACAGACAGGCCGAGGATTGGAAGACCCAAGGTCACGACCCCACAGGAAGACCGGTAATTACGGGTGCTTCACCTAAGGTCCAGATTCCTAACTGTGACGTCATCATCCGCAAACAGCCTTGGACATCCAGTCAGCAGAAGGAGCGTTGATGGAGGACTCCGCCTGTATGGTCTCCGTGACCCATCGACCGTTCAAGGGCATGACTTAACGGTTCTCAGATAAATTATGATTTATTTAGAATTGGTTTAATAGATAGCTCTAGCAGTCTCTGTAGTTTTCCGTGTGAAAATCTTTATCACTACTCAATAGAATATCCATTTTATCAAACTGCAAGAAATATCTTTCATAGCATAACTTAAATTTGTAAAAGTACGCTCGTCCCTTATACATTTATGCCTTTATTGTTAAACAGGAGCTCCCATTTCAGCTACAATGAAAATGTACAGTTATTTCAACTATACAAAACAACTCACTCACTCACTCTGATATGAGTGAGTAAGTGAATATCATTTTACGACGTCTAAGCAATATTCCAGCAAAGTGACAGCGGGAAATGGACACCAGAAATAGGCGTCATTGTATCCATATGGGGATTCAAAACCGGGTCTTCGGCGTGACGACGGAACGCTATAACCTCTAGGCTACCCTACCGCCCCACTATAATATGATGATGAATAACTGAAGGTGATTTTGGCCGTCATATAGCTGGAATATTGCTGAGTGCGGCGTTAAACAACAAACAAACAAAAATAAGGTGATTATGTTCTAGAATAGCAATGGCTTTGGTTAATTTTCAGATTAAAACAGATGCGGAACACGAGGAAACACAAGATATATAAATATGGAGTCTTAACGGGGAGGAAAATCCAAACGGGTCATAGACGTCCGAATTTGGAAAACCACCGAGCACGGGTATCCATCGGGGTAAACAAAATCCTAACCAGGGTGCTTCTGGGATTAGAACACATTTTAGCGGATCCTGCTCTTTGTGGGGCTCAAGCTCTGAACACTAAAAACGGCGTTGTGGACTTGAGACGAACTGTGTCCCTTTTATACATATTATCAGGAATCACTCACATACAGACACCTGCTATTTCATGATCTGGGCTTAAAATTTGATCATGCAAAAGGTATTCTATCATGGCTTTGTACTTTTCAATCTGACAACGTTGATCATACTTTGGTGTAGCTATCACATGCTGTTCAATAGGAAAATAAAAAAAGTTTTCAGCGGGAACAACGAGATTAACTTAGACAATTGGACTGGAAAAAGAATGTCTTCATATAATATTCAAATGAACACAACAACATGTCCCTTTAACTTCTCAATTCCTGACGAAACAATCAATAAAGTGTTTACAAGATGGCGGACTACTAAACCCCGTGAGAATCTACTGACAACGTCATCTAAAGGTCGCCTTGGAAACAATATGTTTCAATATGCTTCACTGTTGGGAATCGCGTTCTTAACAGGAAAACACCCCCTTCTTGAAAACTCGGACACACTTACAAAACTCTTCAACATATCCTTCACTGGAATTGTCAGCAAGAAAACCAGGATCTTCTTCAATGAGGTGAGGTATGCATCACACGACTGTGATCACTACAACCTGCTTGATGTGACTGTTCAGCTAAACGGGTACCGACAATCGTGGAAGTATTTCTACTCTGTCAGATCAGAAATAAGAAAGGAGTTTACACTCGTTCCAACATACAGGGATCTCAGTGCTCAATGCTTCCAGAAATATACAAGTCGACATAAAAACAGAACTGTCATAGGGTTACATGTACGGAGGACAGATATGACATGGGACACCAAACAAGGCTACACGGCTGCCCCGTTATCCTACATACGTAAAGCTATCAACCATATAAAAACAAAGTTCCAAAATCCTATATTTCTAACTGCCACCGATGACAAAAATTGGTGCCGAGAAAATCTACAATCCTCGGATGTCATCCTCATGGAAAACACGGATCCTTACTTGGACTTTGCAACCTTGACCTTGTGTGATCACATGATAATGACAGTAGGCACATTCGGATGGTGGGCTGCCTGGTTGGTCAATGGGTATACTGTGTACTACAAAGATTACCCCAGAGCAGGTTCCCCGCTTGCTTCTGGGTTCTATAAAGAAGACTATTTCATGCCAGACTGGGTTCCACTTGGTGCATGAACTTACTATGGGTAATTATCACTTTTTGTACCCCCTTTGGTCCTGTTGAATAAACAAAAGCAAGTCCAACTTTTACTCATTTGGGAAAAAGGCATATTCATGCATGTCAAATAAAAGGAATCAAACCGAAAATCGATGGGTTTAAAAACTCAACATAGAAACTCATGTATATGATATGATATGATATATCTGAAATACTTCACTGTAAAAAGCATTCAGTGTCTGTTGACAGTGATATTTCAACAATTTCAGATTACATACCATTCCAGCACAAGCACTTAAAGCACTGATGAAGCAACAGGCATTCACTGGTTGCCCTCTTGCACTGACAATTTATATTGACGATGAGAATATGTTGACTGATTTTAACCAAGAATCCCGGACAATCCGGTTTTGATCTGAACCCTTTCGATGAAATGAAATAAGCCTACTTGGATGTAAGTGATTAAGGAGCTATACACTGGGGAGCAAAGGAAACGATACCTCGCAGTTGATTTGGTCATAAACTGTTTATGTTTGACTTTCTATTGAATACTTTTACATTATTTTTTATAAATATAATTTTATTGAAAACGTTTGAGAATAAAAAATCATTCTTTTACAATAGATTCTGCTTTCGGCAGAAATTTCTTATGAATATGAAGAGGGTTTTGTCACTTTTATTCCAAAAAAGTTGAAACTATGGCATTCACTTGCAAATAGATACATTTTACAAGTTTATGTTATAGTATATGATAAAAGGTTATTATAATTATATGGCAGTTTCCATATCATATCCCATATCTCAACCCGAGGGTATGGCATGTTCGATTGCCAAGAAATGACCTCTCTCGAATCATTCCAAGAAAAGACATCGCCAGTTCAAACAGTGCAGAACGGGGTGGTAGAAATTAAAACATCTGTCTTTGGACTAAGTTTGGAGCGTATTTTGTCAACTTCTTTTTGAAACACTGTGTGAACTACTCACGTCTATGGTGTTTACATCTTGAACTTTAGTAATAATTGTTTCATATATAACTACCTGTGACCACTTTTCGGAATGTTCTAAGATTTCGAACCTGTGTACCTGTGTTGTTACGGGTTGTAACGAGAGCACCGTTTTCAAACCGCTGTTGCCGTCATGGTAGAATGGAGAAAAACCTACTGTGTTTTGAAATTTGATGTAGTCCCACTGTAGAGTAGATACCTCCTTCTTTTAGCTTCAGCGCGAGGTTCCAAATTAAGATAGAGATAAAGATAAGCACTGTAGGTTTATCTCCTAATTAGAATTCAAATACCTGGCAGTCGCCTAAACTTTAGTTCCGATTCAGACAGCAGCGACAGCCAAGATGGAATCTAGACAGTAGTATAGATAACCAAACTCGTCCAGGTAAGAAACCGTTTTTATTGCGAGTGTATTTATAAACATATTTATTGAGCGTAATAATAACGGTATCTAACAGGATCGAGTGTGGTTATTTACTTACTACTCTACTACTAAAATACAGTGAGTTTGATTGCCTAGTTGTATGAATATAGTTCCTAGCACACTTTTTTAGTGTTAAAAGATTCAATAGTCTAAACACACAATAGTTTAGGAAACATGTCGGCAATCTTGAAATTGGCAGCCATCTTGATTTTTTTTAGATTTGTCAATAGTTGAAACGTTAAGTAGATGTGAATATCGTTTTATAAACATAATATGGCTATTTCACAATTCCACACATGCTCTTTTTATCAAAACATTGAACATCATCTGAAATATGGAAGATAAAGTATATTGATAATTGGTGGCCATATTGCATTATGCAAATTAGACATATTTCCCAAACTGGACTGTTTGGGACTCTTAGTATGTTGTTTTGGGGACCTTGTAGAAATGCATTATGGTGGAATAAAATATTTGAAAAAATGGCCTAGATTGCCTGGACTGTTAAGCCTTACTCGTAAGCGACATTCAACGTTGAAAAATAGACGTTGGTGGGGTAAGCAGCTGGAAGGGTGATTTATGAATACAACATTCGTAGCTTATGATTCGACCATCGACTTTTCTCTCAGGGTGCAGCCTGGCAAACAAAAAGTACAGTAAACTCCCTTTATAACGAACTCGCTGAAATTTTCAGGGAATATATTTAGTGTCTGATTCACTCATGGAATATACATAATCCCTAAATTGTTCAGGTATTATACATATTCCCTGATTTAACATCAACTTTGTTAGACATATTCCCTGCAATTACTTTTGAGGCTCTCATTTGGTCAAAGTTGATTACAAAATCCAGAAGACAAATTTATTCGACAAATACCTTTCATTTTACTTAACAATTAGTCTTCACAGTAATCATAACATAGTCGCAAAGAACAAACACATCTTGTTGAGTGGGCGGTGTCTGTCTGGACAGGTGTGATCAGTGATGACATAAGTGAGGGGAACTCTGGCTAAGCTGCTTTGTAACTCAGGTATATGTTATTATGTCAAAAACATTTGTCTTCTCGTTTCTTTTTGAATCAAGTTTGACCATGCTTATAACGAACTACGGTCATATCGAACTACAATCAGTGGTCCCTTTGAGTTCGTTTTAACCGAAGTGTATAAGAAGCGATAAGATGCAGATGTAACGTTCAATAATGACCATGTTGAAAGTCGAACCTTAGGTTCATATTTCAACACAACCGAGTCATTTTTCAACAGTTGAAAAATGAACCGGGTCGTTGCAAAATTCCCCGACCCTTACGTTGAAAAAGTACCCCCTGTTGAATTATGAACCAGGTACGTTTGCAACGTTGACTTTTGACGCGCATAAGTATTTAATGTTTACTTTTTGACCAGGTTATTCTCTTAAATTTTCAAATATAGGTTCATTCCAACAGTCACACCCTCTATCTCTGCCTAGCTGCAAAACAATGAATACAGTTATTTATTAAACGTAATCTCAGTTCTGCCACTATAGATATTTTTACATTGCTGGATGATTTTATAACCATTATTATTACAATGCCAGCCGAGATATACAGAATTTGATTATCCTTGTGTCGTTCTACTATGCCTGTTTAACCATACTGGTCGCCACATGAATTTGGCCTAAGACTTACTTACCCAATAAACTTGTCCATGTACCCAGGGGGATACGCTTTGATAAAGGTCAAGGTCACCTGCAACGTCAAGGTCATCTATTGCAAGAAATGTCTGACCAAGCATGGCGACACAAACTGCCAAACTATTAATCGGATTTCTTTCAAACTTGGTACAATTCATTCATAGTGAAAGGTCTCAATTTGGTTTAGTTTGGGGTCAAATCTGTCAAGGTTAAGGTCACGGCGTGCGTGGGCTGGAATCGAGGGATAAAAGTTTGAAATTATGGATACAATCGCAGGGTTTCACAGACCAGCCTCCGTGTAAAGGTAACCTTATCGTCATGTGAATGGAATTGGCTTATGATAACTGTAGTGCTGAGGCTACTTCGTGAAACGTGGTCCCGAACTTCAGCATTGCATCCACCCTAAATGGGGGCGGTCGGGTAGCCTCGTGGTTAACGCGTTCGCTCGTCACGCCGAAGACCCGGGTTCGATTCCCGACATGGGTACAATATGTGAAACCCATTTCTGGTGTCCCCCGCCGTGATATTGCTGGAATATTGCTAAAAGCGGCGTAAAACCATACTCACTCACTCACTCACTCCAACCTAAATGTGCGTGGAACGCTTTTCCTCTGTACACCTCGGAAATATGTTATCTATCCAAGTGAAACTAGAAAAGTGTTTGCTATGCACCGCGAAAACAAAGCAGGCCCCGCACCAAGCCCATTTTGACATGCCTCAAGTTCACCTGACAAGAATATAATGTTCCTATATCCAGAGCAGCAGTTAATGAAAATGATCTGAGAGAGTATGAAATATTGTAAAAATATACTCCTACAAGTCGTTTTTGCAGCTAGATACAAATATAATCTCTCCAGAAAGTAGGTCACCATGACCTACTTTTTATACTATCAGATAAGTATTCTCTAGATGCATCAACGTATTCAATTTCAAGACTTTGCAACAAATACATGAAGTGTAATAAACATATGGGCAAAAGAAGGTACACGTCTGATTTTTGTGATAAAGCTGAAAAGTGAAGGAAGTTTTGATAATTTTGAATATGTCTAACTAATCATCAAACATTGCTGCAACAGTTTGCACACGTAAACCCGTAGACTGGTGGTACTGTGGTGTTCTTTGAGTGCTGACTAAGCGCTAGTGAGTGAGCGAGTATGGTTTTACGCCGCTTTTAGCAATATTCTAGCAATATCACGGCGGGGGACACCAGAAATGGGCTTCACACCTTGTACCCATCAACATTCGACTGTTCCACTAAAGTCATCGCAATGCCACAGCTACGGGGACTCATCCCTGGTTTGAGGAGGATATCGCACCAGACTGTCAGGAACCATCTTCGCGAGGCTGGAATCCGAACCTGAAGACCTGTTATCGTCCCTATTTTTGCACCAGATCCATCGACAGCGACGCTGGCGTTGGTGCCATACCTTACAGCCTTGGAATTTGAGAAACTGGAGACGAGTGTGGTTTAGCGATGAATCACGATTTCACTGGCGAGATGGAAGAGAAAGGAAATGTGTCCCCCAATCCTCGAAGCGTGGAAATGCGTTCAGATTGATAAAATAAATGTACCAACCTATCACAGTATAGTGTCACATCACATGGTACAATAAAATCCCTTACAGTAGAGCCACTTTGCCTCTCTATCAGAAGCCTTTTGTTGTGCTTTGTCAAAACCAACTAAAACATCATATTCGTTTCATTGAAAGTGTAAAGATATTTAGAAAAGTATTTCATTAACCGATCGTTGTATTTAAATCAAACACGTTGCTTAAAGTGAAGCAACGGCAAAAATGTGTGAAATTGACGATTCTTCCCACTTTAAGATAAAACATAGCCATAAGGAAGCCCGTGTACCAAAATGAATAATTTACCACAAGTTCCTTTATCTTTCCCTAATTGACCTAAGAAAAGCTTTGTTCATATTCAATTATTAGAAATAATGTTCCTGTAAGCC